AAGGCACCAGTCTCTTCGGAGGCGTGGGTTCGAATCCCACTCTCATCAGTATCTTTTGTTTTTTTTACATTTTATATTGGGAGTGATAACTCGTTATCAAAATCTAATATGACGTACCTATGTAAGAAAAAAATCCTGTTCCACATATTGCATCAAAATATGTACCAGTTTCTGACTCAGCCGCCGTTTGTACTGCCCTTTTCGAAGCGTCAGCATCGTTTGGAACAATATTCTGGAATGACAGATTATGTTTCGTTTTATCAAGCTATTCACGTTTTGGATTATAGTTCTCAGTCTCATACTGTTGCATTTTTCCTCCGAAATAATGTGTCCATCTGGAGAGCATTCAACGCACTGAAAAAATTTGATTAATAAAATAGGTGACGTGTGTTTATCTTACTTCTTTATTCATGCCCAGAGGAGGACCGAACATTTCATCATCTTCCTCATCTTGTAAATCTCGATCTTCTGTCGTTTCTGCTGTGAAAGTAATTGGAGCAGCAGTAGTGTAGATGTGGTTCATCAACGTAGTCATGTAGCTCATATCAGTATTGATAGGCGACATCGTAGGCATTTGTACAATGGGCGCCATTGGTCCATTATTATAGGACGATGGCAACTGGTATGGCTGAGGATCAGGTAATGCTGGCCGAACTGCGTTGTATCCAGATCCAGAATAACTGTTGGAAGTTTGACTAGGCAAAGGCATAGGTTGCGGAGCGTATGCCGGGATTGGGTTATAGTTTGTTGATTGCATTTGGTTGTATCCACCAACAGAGTTTGTTGCTGGTATACTATAGCCTTGCATAGATCCGTAGCTGCTTGGGGAGCTGTAATCCGTTGACGATGCTCCGTTCATTCCAGTTGGTCCAGTAGCATAGCTATGAAATGACATAGGTGATGACGCTCCCGGTTGTAAAACTGATGGCATGACCATGTATGGCGGGGCAGTGGCCTGAAATCATACAACTTCTCTTTTGCTATCTGTACTAATAAGATTTTAATTCTGAGGTCTTCCACAGACCGTCACGAGATGTACCGTTGCCGGTTCAGGAGTGTATGGAATAGAGTTAACTCCGCTTGAAGGTAAATATGCCACAGGCTGTTGGTTTGGAGTTTTATACGAATATCGGGTGTCTCGAAGAGGATTCATTCCGAAGGTTCTGAGATTTTCAATCAGTTATCTATGGTGAATTAACCAACATACTCAGGGAGTTGAGCGGGTGCCCCAACCATTCTATCTGACCGAGAAGATACTTTTTCCATTCCGAACAAAGGAACTAACTATAAGAAATCAGCTTATAAAAAAACCAAAATCACTGGGGACATCTCAAAGTGCAAGTACTTAGTAGAAGATTTTTGATCATTCGTTTACGGAACTATTAAAAACCAGCTAGCGTTCGAATAAATATGAGCAAACAGTTCACTCGCGTTCATGTTATAATTATGTCATTCAGCACTTTCAGTTTTAGTCAAAGTTGAAGAGACTTACTTTCCCCTGTGGGTCTTTTCCGAACGTTTGAATTTGTTTCGTTCCTTGTACATTCCATGATGGCACCTTACGACTCAAAAGTAGTTGACGGTTCTTGTCGACAACCATGGGAGTTTCATCGTTGAATTGAAGAATCTCACTTTCTTGAAGTAATATTGTTTTGATACAAAGACAAGATGGCCAAACTTTCTGGATTTGCTTTTGTCTGGTCTGTGATTCGAACAACTGCTTCAGGCTTCGATTGACTAGATCTTCCTTTGAAAGCTTTGTATAACCGTTTTCTCCATTTCCGGATAGTATCTGCGGTTTGCTCCGAAACTACCCGTCCTTCGGACCTGTAAGCGCATAAGAAAGTTGTTGAAACATTAACGGAAACTGCTCTTGCCTTGTTTTTTCTAAATCAGATGGCTGAGCAGTAGTTGTTATGATATCAGGTATGAGAGTAGGAAAGTGAGAAGCAGGATCGTCGAAATGAAAACGATCTGATGCTTTGTTTTTATTTCTAAAACCTCCAAGCTTCATGTTAGGGATATCTACGAAGTGGGAAGTACGAATCTGTTCTGAACAAAAAAGGATTTACCTGTTGGTTTTGCTCTCATCTGCTTCTCATCTTCTGTTGTAATTTCACTTGGCTCACTATCCAACATCTCAAGGCTCTCCTTTTTAGTTCCAAAAAAATTGTTCAAATTGTCTAACAGCTTATTCTTCAAAAATGTCTAAGAATGTTGCAGGTGGAAAGAATGTAAATGATACACTCACCTTAGTACCAAATTGAGCGTGTGGAATTGGCAAATCTTTTGCTCTGACTTCGGAAGGCTTAGGAATCGAGTCGGTTGAAGAAGGAACAATTTGACCCAGAGCATGATGAGTAATAATTATTTTAAGAATTAGATTGAATGGGAAGGTCATGTCTTTTTAGTAATTAATTAGTTATTACATGAAGCTTTAAAACGAACAACAAGCTCAATGTAGTCTTCACTAGTAGACCGTGAGAAATGGGCGGAACTTGTAGATGTCCATAAATGGATCAAGTGGTTGCTGATGCTGTTCTTCGTGTGCACGTGCCGACAGATTATTGTTGAGGAGAGGAGAAATGAGAAGACGTGTAGAAAGGAGTAGATGACGGCTTCGAGATCACAGCCGGTTTCCTTGTTTGTCATTGTCTGCAACAAGACAATAAGGGAGACGATGATGAGCCTGAAGTTGGTGTTACTGTGCTAGTAAGGAGATGAATTGGAGGATCAGATGTAAAACTGACCGTATTGAGGGATTACGGGTCGTTTGCAATGTTATAAGCCAAGCAATCTGAGATTAGAGTGCGGTTCATGATCAATGGATAAAACCGTATGAACTTAGCAAAATCCTGAGGATAGAAAGAGAGAGGGATAGAGAGATGAAGAAGAAGAAAAACTTTTGTAAGATATTATTTTAAAAAGTTTTTACATGAATAACAATAAAATCTTCGGGGAAAGTTTAAATTGCGTTGTTTTGGCTAAAGCATGTCATCCACCATCATAGTATATTTCTTCAGATAAATAATATATTGTTAAAAACCAGTTATAAAGTGAACAATATAAGTTTTATAAGATTCTCATTTGGCAAGCTCAGAAAATCTGGATATACTTGATTAAGTTGGCAAGTTCGGTCTCTCCAACACAATAATAACCTTGTTGATAGCAAATGCAATTTTCATTACAGAAAAATAATTTTTTTCTTTCGGAAGAAAAGGAAAGAAAAGAA